TGTATAAAGTGCGTTTGTGTTTGTATAAAGCGAGAGAAAATTGTATATATACATATATTTTCGTTCCCCTCCCTCCCCTCTCCCAGATCTCGCCTCTCTCACTTTATACAAAAACGCAAATTGTATAAAATGCGTTTGTGTTTGTATAAAGCGAGAGAAAATTGTATATATACATATATTTTCGTTCCCCTCTCTCCCCTCTCCCAGATCTCGCTCGCCACTCTCCCAAATCTCTCTCTGTCACTCGCCTCACTCACTTTATACAAAAACGCAAATGTATAAAATGCGTGAAAATTGTATATATACATATATTTTCGTTCCCCTCTCTCCCCTCTCCTAGATCTCGCTCGCCACTCTCCCAGATCTCGCTCGCTCACTCGCCTCTCTCACTTTATACAATTGATCTTTTTATATATGTATACCAAAACAGATTATACAACTGTTTTCAATTGTATATGTATAGCGAATTATACATATATATGTTTGCTATGGAGCGCAATTATGCAAAGTTTGCTATAGCATACAAATATGATTTTTTTGTTTGCTATATGTGAAAGTTGCTCAATTAATAATCCAAATATTCTTGTATTAGTGGTTATTTTTGTTTGTTTTAAAGTTATTTTTTGTTTTTATCCTGTGTGCTCGATATAATTTTTGGGGATCCTATTAATTTTTCGCATACTTGAATTTCTTTCTTTTTTAAAAAAAATAAATCTAAAACATCTAATTAAAAATAGAAAATTGTATCCATCTAATCACAAAAGAAACAAAGAAAAATGAAACAAAAACATAACAAAAAGGAAGATAAAAAAACCTATACAAAAATAAAATATGGTATTAATCATAATCGACATGTATTGCCATAAAAAATTTAATCAATAAACAAGAAAATAACAGATTAATTCAAGGCTGACGCTCTCAACAAGATTTTCTCCTTGGAGTTCAAATCTAAGACTTCTGATTAAGGATAATGAAACAGTCTTGCACCACAACATGAGTTGGTTATTTAGAAACACTTTTATTTTTTCTAATATAGTTTGATAAGTTATCAACAATGAAATGGTTCCATATTGATCTCTTTCATCTATTATATAGCTCTAATGATGATGATGGTTTAGTTGTTGCATTTATGTATTGGTTTATGAATTGATTAAAGTTGTCGTAGTTGCAAATTGTGTGCTTTTTTTCAAATGATGATATACAATTACTTTTTAAAAATTTGCCATGTCACGAGTCAAGTCATCATTCATCAAATATGTATAATATTTATGCAAATTAATCATAACTCAACGTCTTAATATACACCCGTATAATTGCTTTAATCAAACAAGCTATAAAATAGAATCCTAAACCAAGAAACACATGACAAAGAATAAGTATAATCCTTTTTTAAAAAAATCTAGTTTACGCCATTACAACAATTAGAAATTAGAAATATATACCCTTTGGGTCGTTTCGTTGGAAACAAGTTATCCCAGGATAAGTTATCCCATGATAGCCCCATGATAAGTTATCCTGGAGTTAGCTATCCTGGGATAACTTATCTCATCGCTATGATATAAATGGTGGGATAAGTTATCTCAAACATGGCAACCAAACAACATAATTTTTTTTTAATCCCATCACTATTATCAAGACGGTGATTAGTAACTAGTCACTAGAATTGAGACACAGCTCAACTCCTATTGAAAAAATTGAAATGTCTCACAACGTTCTGAATCTAGCTCAGGTACCATTTTTATGAGCCGCTTTGAAATTTCCGATGAAATGAGGCAGGTAAACTTCACAATTGTACGTTGAGTATAAAAACTACTCATTTAGATATATATCGTCTGATTGACAATTTTCTTAATAATAACTAATAAGTTGCTAACACATAATATAAAAAGGTCTTTACATTATTCATGGTAATTCTATAAGTAAAATCCGAAGAAAATAGCATGTACGTATTCACAAACCTTACCTTACATTGCAAAGATAAAAATATTATTTCCGATAGGTAACGATTGGTGGAAACGCATGGGAGGTGCGCGTGGGGAAACGGAATAGTGAAAAGATTCACATGTGATTGACGCCGTGGATTTCGGGGGCCATTTGGAAGTCAAAAGCATTTGGTTGGAAGACAGACCGGAGAATATGAAAATGTTACCCCACATTTATCTATAATTACATTTTACTCCCCAAATTTTGTTTATTTTATTTTGTCAAATAATCTGACTATATCGTAATGATTTTGATTAATATAACATTTTATGAATTTATTAATATATATAATTTAATTTCTAAAAATTAAAAATAATAACTAGACTAAATGATTTGATAACAGTATTTTAACTCCGTTTGCACTTTAATTTATAAAGTTAAATTAGTTGACTTAGTATAGATATATTTGTTTACATATAATTAAATAATATATATTTAGTTGATTTAATATAAACATAATATATAGTGCGAGTTCTTTTTCTAACTATTTATTAGTATGAGTCGTTAATCAGAGGCTTGTGATGAGATATATAAGATTTCTTCATTATTAATTAAATATTTTGTATTTAAATTTTGAATATGAGACTTTATTTTAGATGGGAACTGGGAAGTACTTATTTTAATGAACTTATGTGATTCAAACTAAAATTAGTCGAATATTAATATTAATAATTAAATAAAATAATGAAAAAATCTTAAATATAGCGCTCTACGTGCCAATCACTTACTCATTGGCCGACTCAAGTGATAAGTCGGCCTTTTCCATTTGATTAATGAAATAATAAAATAAACACCAAAGACCAATATTTATTATCGTGATGGCTGAGATCTTTTTATTCTTAATTAGAGGTTTTAAATTAAGTTTTTTGAAAATGAAAAAAATATGTTGGAAGCTTCGTTCTCATAAATTGAACTTAAGTTCGAATTTAGTCAAGATTTTACATAAATATCAAATATCGAGCAGAAAAATGAATTACCAAAGTGCCCATTCTCTTATTTCTTTTTATAATTTTATTTCTTAGAAGTCACATGTAAGGAGGTCCTATTCAGAGTAAGTGCATAACAGAAAAGTTGTTGACAAGAAAGTCAGTCCAAAGTTTTAAATATACTTGCCTTCAATTTTTTAATATTTTTTTTTTGGAATTATGTTACGCAATATAGTTTAGAAAAAGAAACTGTAATTTCACAATATTTTCAAGGAATTAAAGTATGTAAATAAGAATTGAACATATAGTTAGTTGAAAAGTTGTAGTATGAGAAAAAAAAACATGAACCATACCTAATCATGCAGTCTTTCTATTTCACGTTTTTTAAAAAAAGAAGGTGTGATAATGTCATATTTTTCTTTTAATCCTTTTAATTTTTCATTCGATATTTAATATTAGTATTTATTTTGGGGCACAAATTTGCATAGAAAGGTTTAGATCATATATTTATATTAGAAAATTCATTAAAATATATAAATATTTAATTGTAAACTCATCAGTAAACTAAAACCAATTATAGGTTCAATAAAATTAATTCCTAGGATGGTCAACTTGTGGAAATATACTACTAATTAATTCACCTTTATTTTTTTTACGACACACTCAAATTTGCCTTTTTATACATAAAAATATATACAAGACATGTATTTGATATGTTATATCATGCTTTAACATCCTCATAGGTTGGGTGCATGACTTCAATGATATGCTTAAAACACATAAATTTTAGATCTTAGCTCCATCATTCTATATTTATAATTTAAACTTCTTGACTTGGTTTTTTCCATGACGACCTATTCTTGCTCAATGCACAATTGATTATAAAGAAAAGTTCAATTTGTCAATAACATCCAAGGACCAAGATATTGATTGATTATATTCAAAAAGTATTTGATTAAGACTTAGTCATTTCTTAAGATTTCTCTTGTATTATAATTGATGTGAATATTGAATTATTATAATTTATTAATTTATAAGTGGGATATATGTATTTCTCTCTTTTTTCTTTAAAAATAAGAAGAGATAATATCAAATTGGATAGAGTGGAATGAAGGAATAACTTTTTATCCAACTCCTTTTTGATTTGTAAGAATTGGAATAGGTTGAAATTTTGCTCTAAAAAGAACAAATACCTTTGAGAATGCAAAATGACAAATTTTGTGGATTCAATTCTTATTGTCCCCATCCTTCTTCTATTCTTTTATAATTTTATGTAATAAAAGATTAAATCTTTTCCATGTTATTAAGCAAACTCTTTTAGAAAAGATTTTAAAATTAAGTTTTCTAAGAAAAAAAATACTTAGAGCGATTTGCTTAAATGTAGAAATTCTTTTCAGAACATTACAAAATTATTTACTTAAATATAGAAACTCTTTTTGAGACGTTACAAAACTTGTTAAAAATAATATTTTACACTATTTTAACGGATCACCTTAATTTTTTTTTACATTAATTAATAACAATAAATACAAAGCATATACTGATTTACAATGTTGTTTTCATTTTCATTTAATAAAAGTGATCTGTTATTTTTTCTTTTGCCTCTTAAATATCATGCACTTATTAAAGTGAGTATCAAGTTTACTCTTAAACTATTAAAGTGATAATTATTTTCAAATATTTTTTAAAGTTAAAATTGACTAATAATTTAAGAAAAACAAAAGAGAATTACTAGAATAATAAGCATCTCTACCTTTAAATTTACGATAGCGGATTTAAGTCATAAATGAAGCAAAAAGTAACTTAATAATTACTCACTCCATCACAATTTATATGATATTGTTTGATTGAATACATAATTTAAGAGATATAAGAAAATTTTATAATATCCAAAACTACTCTAAAATAATAAATTGTCTTTTTCTAACAAAAATAGTTTTCTTCTCCCGAAAGAGAAAAAGAGAAAAAGAAAACGCGCCAAGTTGCGCAATTTAGCAGAAAGGGCGTAGGATAAGGTAATTAACAGCTCATATATTCCAGCTTTTTATTTTATTTTATTTTAGTGTTAACGCCGAACCAAATAAGGGATGCGTTTCTCGGACATTGTCAGCACATGTTATTTACATCTAAATATGCAACAAAACAAATCACCATTTCTTCAAATCTATACACAAATAGCATCTTCTTCTTCTTTTTTCCAAAACCCAAAATCTTCAAACAAAAAATAACACCAAAAACTCCATTTTTTATGTGCAACATTGACAATAACATTTTTTTTTCGTGTTCAAAGGTAAATTAAAATTAAAACAGTATTGTATATGCACTACAATGGATTTTATTTTTTTTGCAGAATTTGAAATGTGGGGATCTGTGTTTCTCGATGATCCAAATTCTAAGATGTTTTGTTTTTTTTTTCTTCTCGTTTTTATCCGTGTAAAAATACATTTTATTTTTTGCTATTTATGAATTTGGAATGTGGGTTTTTTGATTTGTTAGTGAGAAGATCTTTGATTGTATTAGAAATGTTTTACTTTTTTGTATGAATGGAAGAAATTTAATTTTGTATGATCGTGTATTTGATTAGATTTTGTGTTTTTTTTTTAAAAAAAAGATGTATTGATTTGGGTGTTTTAATTTGTATAGGTAATTGTTGGATTTGCGTTGACTGATTGTGTTAACAGCCAATGAAAGAGGATTAGTTATATTTTGTTTGGAGAAGAAGATATAATTTTTTTGTGATTTGGAAAGGGACCAAATTATGTTGTCTAAGGGTGAACATCAGACGGTCCCATTATCTGTGTTGTTGAAGCGTGAATTGGCCAATGAGAAGATTGAAAGTCCGGAGCTTTCTCATGGTCAAGCTAGTCAGAGCAAAAAAGGCGAAGATTTTACGTTTGTCAAGACAGAATGCCAAAGAGTTTTGGGTGATGGAGTAGCTACATATTCTGTTTTTGGAGTAAGATTTTTCAGAAAAATGTTTCATTTATATGCTAATGTTGTAATTCCTGTTTGTATATGTCTATATATGTTTGATATTTGTTATTGTTGGATTATTAGATAGATTTATTGTTTGAGAAGGATAGTTTTGACTTTGTTGGATTGTGTAAGATGCAAGTCGAGAACTCTTTGTTTGTTCCGATTATCATTGACAAGGAACTGCTAACTCATTTGTTCAAATGCAACATCTAGTAAGTAGAGGTGTATATTGAGGTTGTTTCATTGCAAAAGTTTGATTGCCCCATTTGGTTACGCTATTTAGCGATGGAGATAAAAGTGGAACTTAAGGTGTGGGATGGTGTACTGATAGCTCTTGTGTGGGTTGTATGGAAGGAGAGAAATAGGAGAGGCGTTTGAAGGGATAGAAATATGATTTTGTAAATCTAAAGGAATAATCGTATATCTTTAGTTTCCTTTTTGTGCACCCATGAGGTCCTGGTGGTATAGGTGATTGAGTGTCCTCCGTAGAATCATGATTTTGCAGAGATTCTCTAGTTTTTGGTATTTGAAACTAGTTAATACGATATTATGTAGCAGTGATGCAACTCTGGTTACAGACTAACCTGCTGTTTGTTGTCTAGTATTGGATGTCTTTTGAATTTGGTCGACTTATTGAAGTATAATGACATCTCTGATTGTTCAATCTGTGCCATTGGTTATGTTTTTGACTTGTAGAATTTATAAGATATAGTTTCCATCTTTGCGTTTATAAATTGTTGGTCTTGCATCCTTCCGTAATCACATTGTTATATTTTCTACTCTATGCAGAATTAGCTTTTAAGTTTTGTCTTTTTCCTTTTCTCATTCTCATTTCTTCAACTTTAATGCTGTTTCCAAATAAAGAATTTCTGTGTTGAACACTACCTAACATCTCTGTTGACCTGGAATTTCTGTTTAAGATGTTAAATTTCAATAATCGCACTTACCATTTCCTTTCTTAAATAACGTCCGTCTAATAGTTGTGATCTCCCATCTTTGCAGTTATTTGATGGGCACAATGGGTCAGCGGCCGCTATATATTCTAAAGAAAATCTCTTGCAGAATGTCTTGAGTGCTATTCCTCCTGATCTTAGTAGAGATGAATGGGTTGCAGCACTGCCTAGAGCTTTGGTTGCAGGATTTGTCAAAACGGATAAAGATTTCCAAGAAAAAGGTATGAGTAGTGTTTCTTCATTAATTTCTGGAAACAAGATATTGCAATTTGGTGTGTATAACGAGAGCCAGTGAGTGAATTATATTCAAAGTGGAGAAGTAATTCCTGATGCCCCTGTTGACTTTTTGTTGTGAATTACCTGAACCCTAAGTTGCCCGGATCCTTCACTTTCGGTGTCGCGCCCATGGGTGTGGGTATGGGATACTTACTGGATTTGTTCAACCGGTTTTAGGTACTTTGGTCAAAATTGACGGATATATTCCGGGATAAATATAATGGTTTATGTAATCAAATCGTGAGCCAAGGTGAAATTGAAGAAAATGGAGTACCTTGTGTATAGAAATTTCTATATCAGTCCATTTCCTTATATCACCTTCTGGGAATCTCCTCTTGATCAATATTTTCTCCTCGGAATATTCCTCATAATGTCTCATAATTTAGACATATAACTCTATTTTTAGATATTTTGAATTATTTTCCGAATTCCCGCACCCGTATCCGTATCTATATCTGTATCCTTGAGTCTTAAAATTTGGATCGTGAAGGATCCGAGCTCTATATCCCACACCCAATTCTGAACAACTTAGCCTGAACTCATTGAAGGATGCAGAGAAAATGCTTTGACGTCCTTACATTATTATGCCATGAAATGTAGATAATCAAGGAAACCTTGTAATTTTGATTATGTGCTGGTATTAGGCCTGCTTGATCAAACATGGCACATAAGGCATGTGATATTCCATTTGTTGATGCAAGACTTGTTATTACTTCGGGGCTTCTGAATTTGTATTTGCTTCCGATGATATTATACATGTTTCCTTCAGCTCTTGGCCTCTTGCTATATGTTTTTTTCCCCTTCTGGCTTGGCTTCAAATATTAATATCTCCGGTATAGTTGACTTTTCTCAAAGAAGAAACAATCTAATTGTCTGCTACTATACTATGCATTTCCTGACATTGTATTGTGTTAAACTTGCAGCAAAAACCTCAGGGACAACAGTCACGTTTGTCATAATTGAAGGATGGGTTGTAACAGTTGCATCAGTTGGCGATTCTCGATGCATACTTGAATCTGCTGAAGGCGGAATTTATTATCTATCAGCCGATCATAGGCTTGATTGCAATGAAGAGGAGTAAGATTAATGCCTTTAGCCAATTAATTAGTATGCTTTCACCTCTTGCAGTAAGGTATTGATTGTTTTTGTTTTCAATTGAATAGGAGGGAACGTATAACAGCTTGTGGTGGAGAAGTTGGTCGGCTTAATGCTGGCGGCGGTACAGAGGTATGTTGGTGGTCTTGTTACATATGCTCTCTGGTTTTAAAACATTACTGCACCCTACCCCACCCCACCCCACACACATACATTCTTGTTGTCTTTTTCGTTTTCATTTCTCCAACTTCCTTCTTCGGGAAGAAGTTTCAGAAAGTGGGTTAGCTTTGTGCTTTATGTCTTACCAGTGATTTAAATTTATTTCAGATTGGTCCTTTGAGATGTTGGCCTGGTGGACTCTGCCTCTCGAGATCCATTGGAGATATGGATGTTGGCGAATATATAGTTCCTGTACCCTATGTGAAGCAAGTAAAGGTTGGTGTACCATGTGTTATGCTTTGCTTTTATGTGCTTGATCTCATTGCTCTTCATTTCCCTTGTGTATCTGCAACGACGTGTAGCTCAAGTTAACTTGAAAAGACTCTACTTCTTCCCTGTATTCTATAGTGATTGTCAAATTTGGGATATGGATATTGGATAGTATAGTTTGACTTGAGGTTTTACTCTAAAGCATTTAATATTTCTTGATTGAATGTCAATAAATATTGTGCTTGACGGTGAGGTGGACTCTAGTCAGGATTGCTCTTTTTCTTTAGTTTTCCCCTTAAATGATTTCCATAGTGTAGTGGTTTTGCAATTATTTTATTTTTTTGTTGCTTTGGATGCTTGTTTGACGATACACAATTACCATAAGCCTTTTAATCCAGTCTTGATTGGTGCAAATATTGGGGGAGAAAGTGTATTGGTTCCTGATTTAGTTTGTCTGTCCCTGAAATCTTTTTTCGTATGTTTGCGTTGAATTATAAAGTCAGAAAATTACCATCATTAGGTTGGCATCAATGAGATCATCCCTTTTCAAGAACCCAATGTGATTGAATATCATATCTGTTCTAAAAAATTCTAAATATTTGTCAACAGCTAACACCAGCTGGTGGAAGGCTAGTAATAGCAAGTGACGGCGTCTGGGATGCTTTGTCTGCTGAATCGGCTATTGAATGTAGTCGTGGAATGCCTGCAGATGCTGCAGCTTCTCAAATTGTTAAAGTATGATCATTACGTGATATCTTATTGATTTATTATGATATTATTTCCTTGATTAATTTTGCTTCTATCTAGTCTTAACTCTTCCTCCAATTTGCAGGACGCCGTACAGCCAAAAGGGATTCGAGATGATACAACCTGTATTGTGGTCGATATACAGCTCCCAGAAAAATCAAATCCTCCTCCGCCACCACCACCCAAAAGGTCAGGAAAAGGAGTATTCAAGTCTATGTTTCGCAAGAAGACTTCCGAGTCATCTTCTAATATTCAGAAAGATTTTTGTGAACCGGATGTTGTGGAAGAACTATTTGAGGAAGGATCCGCATCACTTTCAGACAGGTTTTGTCTCATGCTAAGTGTGTCCCATTTCAGTTATTGCAATGTCTTAGATCTCGTGTTATATTTGCTTTCTTCCCATAATTGCAGGTTAGACGCAAAATATCCAGTCTGCAACATGTTTAAGTTATTCATATGTGCCGTCTGTCAAGTAGAGATAAAGCCCGGACAAGGTGTTTCAATACATGCTGGCTCCTCAAATACAAGAAGTTCACGGCCATGGGACGGCCCTTTCCTTTGCTCAAGCTGCCAAGAGAAGAAAGAAGCTATGGAAGGGCGGAGACCTTTTGGAGGTCAGTTGCCTCACTCTCTGTAGCCACGTTGCACTCATTTGCCTTGAAATATATCGATAACCCTTACTTTACTATTTGCTGCAGATGGAAGATACAGTAGTGAGTGACTAGTTAAGCAAATATGCATACTAACAACTGCTTCATAGACTATTTACAATTGGGAGGTATGCCATCGTTGTCCCAATGGTTCTTTCTGTTTCAGTAAACAAAGAACGTGAAATGGCTTCTGTGACTTGTGAAATACATGCATTAGTGCTTCTAGTTTGCCTCCTCTAGCTCAGAAATTGGAGCTCTGAACTGCATAGTACATAGTTGGGCCATTTCTAAAAAAAAGGTTCACATTTGGAATATGTTTAAGGATATCTTAATTCAAGGCCTTATTAAAGCACATCAGAGATAATATCTATGATTATGTTCAAATGTACACTAAAATAGTGAATTAATGGCGTGACAACGATCGCCATTTTTTCGTTGTAACATCATTAGTTAGTAAAGTTTGATTAGGGATTCTTTTGAGTCTTGTTTTTGTTTTCCTCTTTGCCCTCCTCTACCAGGAGAAACTTGCTGATCATCTTCTTATTAAATTAATTCTTATATTATACATTAATCACTCCCTTCTCAAGCAAGAAGTGCAAGCATTGGAAACTGGCACGTATTTCGTATATTTGGCTTATTTTTACTGTATTTCATATGACGATGATATGAAATGAACTTAAATGAAGAAGTGTGGGTTCATATGGACGTTGTTTTCGATATTTGTCTGATTGATTTATCATATTAATGTTGAAAGTATCAATATACAGCATATCCTTGGATTCTTTTGCCGACTTTTATTTTAAAATTTCTGGAATTTTACACAAAATTTTAGGCATGTAAATGTAAATTCTGGACTTGCAATGATGTGACAATGTACCAAAAAATTGGAGTATTGGAAAGCAACAACACAAATGAGATCTTCTTGGTCTGGAATTGTTCTTTCCTTTGTCAAATCACATTCTCTCATCTGAAAAAACCAGAAAAAAATTATTTGTGAATTCTTTGTGAGGAGCCATCAATATTTGCTATAGTGTACACTCTCCTATCATATACTATACAAAACAATGATAGGACATAATTAAGTTGATAAAAATGTCCTCTTTCTAGCGGATTAAACCTTAACATGGAGACATATGATTCTTTATTTATCTTGTGTTGGACCGTATATTGTGTTGTCTACTGTCCTATCTAGGCATTGGATTTGCTATGTATGGACCAGAGGAGGATGTAACTAATAACCAACAGGTTCAGCTGCACTTGGTATTTTTAGCGTTGAACTTAAATATGTGTGTTTGTGGAAACACACTTAAAAGAGCCTTCAATTCTAGATTTGTCAAGTTTAAATTCTGAATCGGCACTTTAGGAAAGGACATATAGAAACAAACATGGTATAAAACAAAGAGTTGATGGTCAAAGCACAAATAATATCCTTAGTGGAAAAACTTTTTTTTCTTGCTTTGCCCACTAAGCAACTTGAAACTTACATGCCCTTCTTCTTTTTTTTCCCTTTCTCAATAGACACTATGAATTATAGGATGGCTAGACAAGAAACAAGCAAACATCTCTTATCTTTAGCTTAGAATAAATGAGTGTATGATGAATAATTATATTATATACATAAAATATGAGTGGTGTTTAATTTTGGTGGAGAAAAAGAGTATGGCCACTCAAATAATGGCTCTATGATTGAGATGTTGACCTTAACTAAGTAGCCAAAATTCTTCTTGTGGTCTAACCATGTTCTCCAAAATGGACCACTTGGTACACGTGTGTTTGGCCCCACCAACCCCCCACCCCCAACTCCAACCCTTACCTAATTGTTATTTTTTTTTTCACTTGGAGTCCGCATTGGAGTTTCGACTAAATTTGGATCGACATTGTATGATCTATTTGGGTGACACTCCCAATGATATTTTCCAAGGCTGATCCTGAGTCCTCTGATTAAGAGTGAAACAGTTTCACCGCATCACAACTCATGTTTCTAGAACTCTCTTACTACAACTTTCCTATGTTCTTTTTGGTCTTTCCTAACTCCCAACTTTAATTTTAATGCACTTTACTTTTATTTCAACTGCTATCTTTTAAACACTTTGTACCATATTATGCTCCACTTATCTTTTCATATAAAGCATTTACCTTCTTTAGAAAGAATCAATGAGATTTATGGAGTAGTTATTTTGGTATTAAATGAGGTTTTTTTTTGGTTGATTTATGCAAATGTTACTTTATTAAGTTATCATTTAAATTTTATCATATTTTTAGAGGTATGACAAATATAGTCCTTGGGAAATTATACTTTTGAACATCGTTATACTTAGAATTAATTTTAATTCATATATTATTCAACTTCACAGACAAACATTAGATTGTCGTTTGTTGTTTAGCTATAACTTACAAAATGTTAGATCATGGTCTAATCGTCTTAATGTTATTCCATAAGATTTTCAGTTTGTTCAAAATGAATATTTAGATCAAGATCTGAAAGGTTCATAAGTTATAAAAAGATGGTTATTAACTAAATAATTGTCTAACAACAAAAAGACCATTGACGCTGATTTTTTCTCTCTCTATTTATTTAACTGTCAACCCTTAACTACTATGAGTAACTCGAATTCACATCAGACAAATCAATTTAAAGGGATCAACCCTTTCTATTGAAGCATTTACGAGACTCAAATCTGAGACATTTGGTTGATTATCGGAAAAAAAAGATGCTAGTGGACACAACATATGGGGCCAATAAGATGAGGCATAACATGCAACCCTTACGTGCATTAACTATATGGTGTTTTGTTCAATTCGTCTAGATAGATTGAACCTTTTGAAGTATCCATTAATATTAGCAACACATTTTTCTTTTTTTCTTTTTTTGTTTGTTAGGCAAAATTTCAAGTTGAAAGGTGAACCAAGAAGCTCTAAAAAGTCACAGATTTAAATGTCATTCGAGTTGTCTTTTGAAAATAGATTATGACATTTTTGGTAGGGACATTAAATATGAATAAATCATTTGCATTTAATATTATTGATTGGCATTACTGAGACAAAATATCTACTCGTATCTAAATTTGTACATAGAATAAGTGTACGTACTATACATATAGAGAGTGACTTATAATTATAATAATAATATTCAATAAATGCCACCTAACTTGTCTATCATTATATTGATATTGAATCCTTTCACGGGTTCTCACCATTTTATTTTTCCCAACAATCTTGCAAAAGATTTTTATTATTATTAATTACATTCAGTTTGAATGGTACTAGTCGTATATTTGTAGTTTTTTTCTTTTTTATCTATCGTTATGTATTGTTTAGACTGCTTCGATTACTACTCTATTTTCTTGTTGTTATTGCTTCTTTTGTCGACTGTACATTGTTTTTCTTATTTAGTTGTTATGTTTTCTTCTTCTTTCACTTGGGTTTGATATACTTGAGCCGAAAGTCATTTGGAAACAACTTCTTTACCTCCACAAGGCAGTAGTAAGGTTTGTGTACACTCTAACCTCTGCAGATCCGCCCCATTTAGCGGGATTTCACTGGGTATATTGTTATCGTATCATTTTTCGTCGTTACATAATCTCACACATCAACAATTTGAGTAATAAATCTACGAGAGAAATAGGATATGAGATAGAAATATTATAAAAAGATAGGATAAAAAATAAAATAAAACTATTAAATAATAATATGAGATAAAATGAGAGAAAATATTAAAATAACGATGCAATCACAAATCAAACTTCAGACACGGGATTGTTAAGTCAAACTTTAGCAAAAAAAAATGTCTGAAATTTGGATTAATCAGGCCAAACTTAGATAAAAATGATTGAAGTTAGCTTGAAGAAGCAAATATCAAATGATTAAATACGTATTACACATGCAAATCAAATGATGGTCCCAAAATAAACTATTATGTACACTTGTCCCAATAAACTTGTGTATTGTACAGTAGATATGTTTTCGTATCACATTAAAATAGAGTTAATTTGCATTAAAATAAAGTGATGCTGGTGACAGGAGAGAAGATTTGGTACCTATAGTCTAAAAGGGGTTATATTATTAACAAATAAAAATGTTATTCCCCAGCCATTTGCGTGCAGAAAAAAGACATTAAAGTTGAAATTACCTAAGTGCAACATACAAATATCATCTGTTTGATTTGATCTAATCAAAGATTCTTCTTGAAAAAGGTGCACTCCATTTCGAGCTATGAATATAAAAAAAATTATGTTAGAAATATTAACATCAAATAAGTCATGCAATGCACCATTCAGATTTAATTGAAATTTCAATTGAACTCCAAATATGGAGAGAAATCATCAACAAAAAAGGTGCACTCCATTTCAGCATGAATTCTCACATACCTATATGTGACAAAGTATTACAAAATCAAGCCCCAAAAATAGATACTCTTGGTAACAATTTTTACTGAGGTGCAATCAGAATTTTAAGTTGATATGTTACTAATATAAATAATCGTTAATTCAATTAATTAAATTTTAAAATATATATTCATAAATGTATAATCCATGTTATAATAACTATATGAAATCAACGAGAAAATCTATGCAGGATTATTTTATGCAGACTAAAAAATGAAATAACTAATACTATATGAATAATCCATCTTGCATAACTAATATTATAATTGAGGGGTAGTTCAGCTAGTAAAGGCCTGAGGACAAAGTCCTTCAGGTCGCCAGTTCGAGCCCCAGCAGGGCCACTGGAGGCATTACATACCGGCCGCGTCTCCAGGGCCCCGTGGAACTAACCGTGGTGCACCCGCCTTGAAACAGCGGGACCCAGTAGGTACAGCTAGTCGGGTTCGCAAAGCGACACCCGGAAACCACGGTTAAAAATAAAAATAAAAAATACCTATATAAAGTGATACATAAATTTCCTCATTACTAGTTCTAATATTATAATATCTACCTAACTTTTACCGTCTATCAAACGATCCCTCAATGCATACCAAATAAAATATATTACACATATATAGTTTGTGTTAAGACAAGTAGTACATTTACACTATCCATCCCATGACTAGTACTAGTAGAAGACAGTACATTTATACATTAAAAATAGGGTAGTAGTATGTTTTTTTGCCTATGGATTTTGGCCCCCCAAAATAAAACTGCTATAAAAACCTTGGATTTTGTTCTGTCAGTGTACTTTTCCTGAAATTAGCACCTTATACCTGCTCATATATATATGTATATAAAATAAAAATATATATATACCCCACTTCAATTAGCCCAAAAAAAAAAAATCAATCTCCTTCTCATATCCACCATAAAAAGTAAAATAATACAGATTGATGCACATAACATTTCGCGTTTCACAAATTCGAGAAAGGGCCACCACATCCCCATCAAAAGCTCATCACTATAATTGCCACACAACAGACATTTTAGCCTACAAACTCTTCTTTCTTCACATATAACCTTATCTTTTTTTTTTCTTTCTTCAAACAAAGAACATCAAATCTTGAAGAAAAATAAAAACACCCAATATTAGATCTTAGTATAAATTTTATTTTATTACTTTCTTTTAACATTTTTTTTAAAGTCATGGATAATATGAGAGTTGGAGAACAAGAATTGAAGCAGAGCAATAAAGAAAACCAGAAAACAGAGCCACCACAGTCCGGCGGTGTTGCTGCGGTGTCACCACCGTCAGCTTCATCATCTCCGGCGCATGAGTTCTCCTTCACAATTTCACTTCACCCAACAAATTCCACAAAAGCCCTTGAAAGTAAAACCAAACAAAATCTGAATCCGAAATTGAACCCGAACCCGAATCAGAACCCATCCGCCATTGATTTAACTCCAGCTGATGAAATTTTCTTCCATGGCCATTTACTTCCTCTTCATCTTCTTTCCCATCTTCCTGTTTCGCCTCGCTCTTCAACAAATTCCATTGACAGTTCAATCCCCATTAGTAAATCAGAACAAAAAATCCAAAAATCCATTAAACAGTTAGATGATGATGATGATGATAATTCTTATTATGATTTAAACCATAGTTTTCATCATCATCCCGAAACAACAAATTCATTTAACATACCCAAAGATCAGAAACCCAAATCCAAATCTTTTTCCATATTTGGATTACCCAAACGAAAAAAAGGCGAAAAGGATGAGAAAGAAAAACAGAGGAAGCTGAAATTCGATGTAAGTCAAGTTTTGAAAAGGTATATGAGAATGGTGAGACCATTTTTATCATTTGGAAGCAGAAAAAATATGCAATTTCATAGACAAAGTTATTCATACTCTGGGAATTTGAGTTTTCGAGGAAAGAATACTAGTAATAGTAATAATAATAGTAGTAAAGGAATAAAAAGAGGTGCATATTCAGCTCCAGTTTCTATGAAGAATTCACCAACAAATAGTGGATTACTTGTAGCAACACCTGGAGGTAATTATGGTAATTCATCATCTTCTTCAAGTAGTGATAGTACTATGGAAGAATTACAATCTGCTATTCAAGCTGCAATTGCTCATTGCAAGAAATCTAGTTCTTCAATGGAAGACAAGAAAATCAAGATTTCATCATCATGAAGTAAAAAGGGCATATCGGTACACTACAGCTCCCGCTATGTGCGGGATTTAGGAAAGTATTGAACCAAAAGGGTCTATCGGCATTTCTGCAAGAGGTTATTTTCATGGTTTGAACCTGCAACCTCCTGATCACGTGAATTTGATCATTTTTATCCTCTTTGGTACTACTTGTTTATTTCTAGCATAGTTAAATTTTTATTTTTAATCCTTTGTGTATCATAAATTCATAATCATGAAGTATATTTGTAAGTATTTTTTTTTACTACATGAGCTTAAAAGCATGGATTGGCAGGGCATTGGACAACCTTGTAGAGTTGATTTTTTTCATGTGAACTTTTCTTCTACATTGTGTGTCAGTGCACAGAAGTTAAACTCTTTTTATGAAATCGACATCGTAATTGGTTATCAATTTTCATTGCTTTCAAATGTTGATAGAGATCAATTAGGCCATTGAAAGAACAATACAAGTCTCTTGATTTGAATATAAGAGAAAATTCCCCAATTTTACTGCTATGTTATTTCGATTACTTTTTTTTCATTCATGCTTTGATTATGTTTCTTTTAAGCGGAGAGCTTTGATATGATTTGCGTACATCATATCCTCTTCAGATCGAATTTATGAAGTTATATTGAATACGTTATTGTTGTTTAATTTATCAAATGCCAAGAAAATGACCTGGTTTGAACTTTGAAAGATTATCATTATGAAAAAACAAAAAAATGAATCTTGATATTTTTATTAATCTTTATTGTTTCTTCTTTCTTGCATACTTAAAATTGATGTCCTGGTTAGAGTGTCATTTTGTTTTTTCCTTCAAACGTTGATTAGAGTCAATTTAGCTATTAAAATAATAGCATTGGTCTAATGTTTTGAAAAAAATGAAGTATTCAAAGATTGTTAAATTAGTTGTCAATATCAACTGTCAATCATCTAGGTAAAATTCAGATTACTCCTCGATAAAATATGAATTTAATATCTATACACCGAATTATTTTACATGATCTACTAATGTGGAAATCAACGTTTGCAACTCAATTTTTGGGCCATAAATGTTTGAACTTGAACAAGAAAATCATATAAATTAATGATTAAAATGACTAATATAGCAGTTATGTTTAGGCACTTTTTATCCTAGTTCAAATAATTATGACTACTTTCTATAGTAGACCCTACCCCCCCCCCCCCCCCCCCCCATAAAAAAACTAAATTAGAGAAGGAAGGACAATGTCTATATCGCGATGTTCTTTCTACGAACAAGGTAGTTCCATCTTTATTTATTAGGAAAACACCGAAAGCAAATAAGATTGGAACTCCTTTTATTATGGTCAATCTAGTGGTAGCAGAAATGCCGGCCACCTCCAATGTAATGATGTATAATATTGAATAAATAAATCATTGTTCTAACTTCTAACCCAAAAAAAAGAAGAAAAAAGAAGGGACCATTGAGGTTGTCTAAGAGTAATAATGTAACACAAAATACATAGCATGTGTAACATGTTGCTTTCAATGTGTTCATGCACAACTCAACTTTTAAATTTTTGTTAAGTCCATTCTTCTTTTTGGTCTTTGACAACTCTTCTTAATGGTGACTACCAAGTCCTAAAATCCTTGTGCTTTTTTTAGTCTCTCTTCCTTTTCGAATCTTTCTATCTCTTTCATTCATCTCATCCATAATCCTAATCATTTTAACATAAAAATTTGTGTGGCTCAAAAAGATTCGATGAAGTGATGATAATTTGTGGAAATTCGTTTTGATAACAGATGAGAATCAAATTCAAAATTTCTAAGTTTTATATGCTTTTATTTATATCATTAGGTCCTCAACAAGCGTTACATGTTGACATTATCATTGGATAATGGTTAATAGTGGTGGATCTAGAACACAACTTATGAGTAGGGAACCTAGCTAGGAGCTTCTTCGCAGATTATATATATATGTGTACAGGGGCAGACCTACATGGGTGCTAGGGATTCACCTCAACAAAAAATTACACGGTATAAGGTAAATTTTCTGTATTAACGTAGATATATTAATTTTGAACCCCTCACAAACAAGAAGCAAGTGTGGTGTAGTGGTTGATCTCCTTAAAAATTGACTCTTGCAATCAAGGTTCAAATCCCATTGTGAACTTTATATTTTTAGCAAATGATTTTTCAGGTCTCTTGTAATGGAAGTAACTTTTTGTGTCTATAAACTATATAGTACTACTTTCTTGGAATTGTGAATTGTTGGCTTATTCACACGTATATGCTTTTTATTATTTTTTGAATCCCCTAAATAAAAATCTTGGATCCACTGTATGTGTATATAGTATATAGAAACAACAAAATATTATTGTAAATGCAATTATTATTACTATATATCAATTTGAAATTACTATAGGAAATCATAATTTTTCAATCTTGAATTCACCCCATATCATGGATAATTCTAGTTTTCTTTGTATTGGGACCTGATTTTGACAGAACATGCAAAAGATGAGATTGTTTGACAAACATTCATTCTTCTTATCTTTCATTACCTTTCGCAAAATACTTAGTTTACTAGAATTTTTAAAGGTATAACAAAAAACATATTTGAAGTTCTACTTGAACTATTACAACACACCCCAACTTTCAATTGTTCTCTTTTCCTACCTTTCGATGTATATTTGACCATTATGATTTACTAGGATTCCTTTATCTTTCATTAAAATTTGCTAATACTAATTAGTTGACCAGGTTTTTAAAGGTGTAACCAAAATATACCCTATATATATGTTTTCCCAAGAGTAACTGAGGAGTTGTATTTATATTGTTGTAAGTTACAAAATAGGAACGTTTTATATATCAGAGACAAAGTCAGCATTTAAAGTTTATATATTCAAAATTTTGATTCTTTTAAATTATTTGTTCTAAAGTAATAATTTATACATATTTAATTGAACCTAAACCACTAAATCCAACCGATTCATAAGTTATACTCCAACTCCACCCCTAAATACCACTTCTTCTTCTTTGTGAGTTGTGAGTTGTGACCATTAGCTCGAAGCTAAGTATCAAACTTGCTCACATTGCTGCCTTATATGTGAAAGCGTATCGTCTAAGATTTATATTTGATTAGTTCAATATTCGTAACACCGAATATATATGTTGATATAGTAGATCTAAAAGGCAGAAGACAATAAGAAGAGTTTTTTTTTCTTGTCAAAACAATGTTAAAAGGTTTGAAAAGTAAAGGCACTATTTAGGACCAATATATTCAGTGGGTCACATGAGTTGATGTTTATGGAATTTTATTTCTTTTATCAAAGTACAACAATAATGTTTTAATGTGGTACTTTGGTCCAGTTTCACATCCCAACAACTACTTTTTCTTTGTTAATTTGAACTCTCCAGCCCTCATGATAATAATGATGATTTTGAACTCAAACTATCATCATTAGAATGATTTGCTACTCATGAGGAACTGATTAGTGAAACAAGAAAACAATTATCATTAACAATCATCACATAATATCCATTTAGAATTATTGTTTTTCTTTCTTCCAAAAATAAGATAGAATAATAAGAACAATGATTATGCCCTAATTTTTGAGTAAGTTGTGGTCGGTTTTATGATTTTTTCACTACATACATAATTTCATTTAATAGTATTTTTGGTTGTCCCCTGCTCATTCTAATTAACAGGACATTTTATTCCATTGATATCTTTCGTGGAAAGAAGGGAAAAACAGCTTAACAATTTCTTATATACATTCTTACTAGTTCAACGTGAAAATAGAAAGAGAGAGTTGTGCCTAAGACAACATGATCGCATAAATAGTTAGTTCTAAATAAATTGTACGAGAAAAAAATATGTCCGATTAATATTATTTTTGTTGTTTTGAAGTACTCTTTGAAAGGTTTGCAAAGTAAATATTTTACAAAAATTATTTAAACAAATGGTTAAAGCGTGCTATTTAAAGAAAAAATAAATTAATTGACCTATATTTATTTATTTTGATTAATTAATTTAAAATATAGCATAAGACATGCCGATCTTGTCATCAACAATCATTTAACCGTAATTATATTGTGAAAAGCTCCAAATAATAATAATTCAGAATGGTCCACTTATTTTCACAAGTTAGTGATTTAAATCACCTCTTCCTTTTCCAAGAAGTTAACACTACCATATCATTTGACACTCAAATAAAACTGAAAAGACATAATAATAATAATACAATAGAACTCCATTGCTAAGAAAGTAATTAGCAAATTCACACTACACTAAACTTATCACTAAAGGTAGATTCTTTTACTAAGGGGTCGTTTGGTAGGAAGTATTAAGAGAAATAATCCATGTATTATGTATGGTACTATTTAGTATTATGTTTGGTAGAATTTTAGGCTTATGTATAACTAATCCATGTATTAGTTATACATCTTACATGGTATTATAGGATGTATTACAATACCTCTCATTTGGAGGTATTAGTAATACATTGGATATAATATCATGGGATAAGTCTATGTAAAGACAAAAATATCCCTCAAATCATTTTGATTATTTTCGTGATTTTTTTTTTATATTTGTACTAGTTAATTTATTTAAATAAATTAGCTCATAAAATATTTAGAGAAAGTTGTTTGTTACTAAAGAAATCCAATACAAATCAATGCAATGTTTTGAAATTTGATTGTTTAACATTTACTAATTAAAAAGATAAATATAACACCACATGACGTTTGTGATCTTAATTGAATGTATTATTAAATCTATGAAAAAATAAAAATATCCCTCAAATTATTTTCATTATTTTGTTTATTTTATATATATATATTTCAAAAAGTTGAGGTATTTGATTAAAATTTTATGAAGAAAATGACATTAAACATTGAAGAGTAATATGCCACTCGAGTCTGTATCATCCAACAACTCTCTGCAAAATAACCATATGTGTAGAATTGATTATGAACTTCTAAATTAACTAAAATATACTTTATTGGCGAGAACATATCTAATAATCACCTAAAGATCCTCCCCACTAACATCTTTAAAAGCCACGTATGTATTTATTAAGATGACAATTATTTATCTTCAAATAATTCAAGTGAAAAAATTGCAAACATGACAACAAAAGTGTTCTTCTCCTATCTAGTTATGCAAACATGACAACAAAAGTGTTCTTCTCCTATCTAGTTAGAAGGTCATTTAAAAAAAATATTATTTGGTAATTATCTACCTTGACCCAATTTTATAATAAATCAAGGGTATAATTGAAAAGAATTTTTTTTATAGAGTTTTAGTCCAAACACAAGATGAGGTGAG